TATTATAGCAAAACTGCAACCTGCATTTCACAAGCAACTTATGAGCAGGTAAAGTTTGTAATGGTGCAGTAGGGTGGAGGCTTGGTGTCGAGTCGTCGAACCTTACCACTGAACCACCACGACTCGATTCGACGTATGCGATTCCTCGCTTATGCTTCACCCTACTGCACCATTACAAACTTTACCTGCTCATAAGTTGCTTGTGAAATGCAGGTTGCAGTTTTGCTATAATAACCTTGTAGACTCTATCGATCTACCCAGGTCTCCATTCAAAGTTCCATGGTAAGTTGGCGGACTTCCCTGGTGAGTCAAGCCTCAAAAGCGGCTACGCGTGGGATCACGCCGTAACGCGGCGAAGTAATCGATACCCTCCCTGAACAAAGCCGTAGAAGGACCGTGGCTCTTTCTAGCGCCTGTTATAGCGGGATCATCTTTCTGGTAGTTTATGTTTTTGCTAGGAGTGTCGGGTATAGTTCAGAAAATCTGAGTCGCTGCGTTAATCGCAAATCATTAGGTTGGTGGGGAAGATCTGTGGCAGTCTGTCTTCAACGTAACCGCGCAACCCACACCCTTCAAAAAGGTGGAAACGAAACTCATGCGATAGAGCTGGATTTCTCTTCCGCGCCGATACAGCCCAGACATTGCTTCTTCCAACTGCTGGTTGTCTCCTGAACTATCCGTTACATCGGCGAGTAAAGCTTCACAATGGTATCCAAAAGGTGCTCAAAAACTGGCAGTAACCCGGCGCTAGTGACGCTGCATAACTTCTACTTTACACGTCCTCCATCAAAAGAAAGCCTAATTGTGAAAACTATGGCAGAACTTTCCCTTCAACCCTTTGGTTAGCACTCCCAGCTAGTTGACGCAGTTATTTAATTCAAAACACTCTGGCTCAAAAAAGTCTAGAGGTCCGAAAAATCACCTGCTTACGTATATCGCGAGCTTGGTTTAGTTTCTCACATTCGATTTTCTTCGAGTTGCCAAACGTTTTCAAATCGCCCCGAAATGTGGGCTTACTGCTTTAGATAAACTGGGACTGGCTTGCCACTGAATAGAGCGGCTCTTCCGGTCTGTCGTCGGAGAGGAGAGCGCTCTGATATTGGGTGCGAGCCACTGTAATTTAGAGTGATATTTCTGTCGTATTATCCAGCTCTCACTCTTGGGTTGAAGGAAGCGCTAAGCACCGGAATATAGCGAGATAACTGAATTCGAGAAGCTTTTGAGGCTTTTGTGTATTCTGGGTTCTTCGGAGCAAATTTTTGTTTTACAAGTTGCTATTAAACAGTAATCCGATACAGCACAATGCTGTGTTCATCTACCGAATTTCATAGTTGAGTGAGGCTCTTCCAGGTAACCATCACTGGACATCTCACTGAGTGTCGAGAGGAACAGCGTATTACGATTTGGGCGGTACCTTTGCTTTTCTATGCTTTTAGAATTCATTGTTTGAATAGGTGCATCATTGTGAAAGAACTTCAACGGTGCGCACGATACATAGAGTTGTTACATCATCATTGATGGCGATACTTTCAGAATTTTGTCCTTTGGTGTATGATGTTTGCCGTATTCTGAAAGACTCATGAAGGTGTCCGCCTTAAAGAATATAAAAAAATAGGCAAGAGAATAGAAGTCGGGGAGAATAACAAATTGAAGCAAAAATGAAACTAACTCATAATCAAATAATAAAATTATCATGTCTGCTCGAATTACCACTTTCCCACTAACCTTTGACGTTAGGACAAGACAAAGCTTGGAAGGGGCTTGTATAAAAGGGAAGGAAAATGTAATAGATACCTCTTTAATCCTTTTCTATTTATTTCTAAAAAGGCAGCAAAAGAAGGTCCGTGGTCCAAATAAGTAGTAATATAAATAAATAAAGAAAAAATTATAAGAAACTAAATTGCTGGATAAAAGAAAGGATAGAAGATGGTTCTATTAATTTTCCTTCCCTTGTTATACAAGCCCTTCCACAGCCTGTGTCAACGTCTTTCAAGGTAGTTAATTTTTTATTGCCTTTTTTTAATGTTAACTATCCAATGTGTGGTAGTATGAATTTATGCATACGAGTGGACAGAATCATGCCAAAGCAATTTTTAAGTTGGCGGAAAAGTTCTGTCACACTTTTCCGAACTCAAAATACTTGCCCATTACATGAAGAGGGGTAACCGGTAATGTGAGCACTTATACATCAAAGAGTAGTCTTTCTATTACTCGCTCGCTTGACTCCTGCTTTTTCTTCTTCTAATGCAGTACGGATAAGGATTCTATCCGCTACCATCGGCACCGACTCCTCCAAGCGCTTCAACAAACTTTCTTCCACCACCCTGTGGCAAGCATTGTAGCTGCAGGTGCCAAAATAATGGAGCTGAATAAGGACGATGCCCTAAGTTATCGGACAGCCTTCCACGACCCTAATGCTTCAAAGCGTGAACCTACAGTATTGATGAAGTGAGATTTGGGTTGCCTGTGAACTCAGATTGAGGGTGTTGCGTGAAATTGCTGGATGAAGAAGCTGCTTCATGCATACGCAAAGCAGCTACGAGATCTCGAAGCGTACCGTCGATCAGAGGGAAAAATTTGTCCGCACAGCCCGCCCTCATCATGATAGTGCAGCGCACTCCGTCCAAAAAAGTTCGAGCCTCATGCAATAGAGCTGGATGGCTCTCCCCTTGCACTGGTGTAGCACAGACATTGCTCCTTCTAACTGCGAGTTGCCTCCCGTACTCAATCGATGTGGACGAGAAAACCTCCATAACCCGAGTTCAAGTCAAGATTGAGATGATGTCCAACTTTGCGTCGCGCCTCCTGCATTGTGAAGCGATGGCATCCATGAGGTGCTCAAAAACTGGCAAGAACCCCGCAGTAACATTGCTGTACAATTTTGATCTTACACGCCTCTCTATGAAAAGAAAACCTTATTTGAATGTGACAGAACTTTCCCGCCAACCTGATACACGATCCAAGCACACGGTAATCCTCGAATCCTCTATTGCTTAGCAATTTGGCTAGCGTCCGCTTTTGTCCGTACCACAAAGTAGCACATTCTGATTGGTTGATGGAACACCAGTTGCTGTGAGTGCTTCCGGAACCTTCCCCGTCGTGCGTTTTTCTTTTCTCTGAACTAATCACGAAAAACACCTCAACAGCTTCCGCTAAAACCTGAGAGCTCACTAAATTGACGCTGTAGCGCGCTTCAAATGCTACTAACTAATGCTGTTAAGTTAAGACAGTTACAGTATCAGCGGTGAAGCCGTTCGCTGCTGTTCGTTTCTGTAAATTTCCACCACTCGAGTGAAACCGTTTCGCTTAGCTGTCAAATATGAGCGAATTATGTAGTAGGAGCCCAGCTTTTGCTTTGCAAAGTCTCAAGCAGTAGCGGGCCAGGAAAGTAAGAAGTGCTAGTCAATGACGTTCGTGAAACCCATCTGCCCACCCGTGTGCAGTCGATCACACACAGCCAAGTTGATATACAACGATTTCTACAGGAGCCCGTGATACGTATCACTGGTCGCGTTGCAGATGAAGAATTACTTTTACAAGCCTGTGAACGCCTTCGTGAATTATTATTTGTCCCAGAAGCTGCTGAAAAGGTTATTTGTTCCTTCCTCAAGCAAATTTTGAATATTTTGTTAGTAAGATTAGATTTCGTAAAGATAGGGCTATACTCAAAGTTAAGTTGTGAAACTTAAAGGCACCTGTGCGATCATCCGATGTGAGAGACCCTCCTTGGTCCGAGACGTCACTTTTACTATTCGTTATTATGTCGTTTCTCTTGTTTGGCTTTATAGGGCAGTAAGGAGCGTAATCTTGAAATACTTAGGTTCGCTGCGCCATTAAGGGCTATTTACGCCTTGCGGTTTAAGTGAGTCGGTGCTTCGAGAGAGCCGGCATTCTGAGCAAGTGCGCGCATATGAGAGTATAGCTAATAATCTGGCGTTTTGAGAGAATCAGCGTTGTGAGCGAAAAAGAAGGTATAGCTGTCGATCGGGGCCCGTTGCTGGCCCATAGACGTTCTGTGAGAATCGCCGTCGGCATTGTTCACAGTCTATGAACCTGACTTATCGGGGAAGCGGGGAAAAAACAAACACGTATCGACAGTGAGAATCGTCGACAGCTCTCTCACCATCGCGAAAGGGTTAAGATTTACACGAGCGAAAACTGCGTTCCTCCCACCCGTTTCGCCAATTCTCCCGATCGATAAGCATCTCTTTTCGCGCCTCTACTGGATTCATCTGCCCGATCCGCTGTATATCGATCGGCATTGTCAACACGAATCAAAATCTTTTCGCATATGCCTTCCTTCCGCCGATCAGCAGGGTCGTAAGCTGCGAACAATGCCCTAAAGAGCGAATTGGTATTCTGTGATGTCTTTCATTTCGGGTGAATCAGCGTTGGGGCATCAATGGACATGTATGTGATCCTTTTTGCTCAAAACCCGAATTCCCTCGAAACACCGATTTTCCCGAGTCGCCAAGTGTGAACGCAGCCCAACGCTGTCGCGCTATGTTCCATCGAATATGACGGACAATTAGAAATTAATAGATCTGATTCTCTCCTGCCTATACTTCTAGAATCGAGAAAATTTGAGGAAGGGCGCACAGAAGTAGTGTATTTTTATCACGTGAGTGCTGAGTCAAATTTCCTTACCGCAGGCGAAACTGGAACCCAAGATGTTTAGGAGCGGCGTTAACCAGTCATCATAAAACAACTTTAGAACATTGTGCTTTCTATTTTCTAAGCCCTCCACATTGGTGACTTGTCATAATGTGTCATGAATGTGGTTTTAGTTTCCATGTATTCAGATATCTTTCTCGACACATATGGAAGTTCCGGCTGCCCAGCGATCTCAAATTGTAGGAATACCGGACGGAGCACAACTGGTAATTATTTGATGGATTCGGAATTGTCCCACAAAAATCTCAATAAGCAGCTTTTCAAATCTATCTGAAGTTCACACGGCAACCAAGATTCTCACTTCATCAATTACTGTAGGTTACACGCTTTAAAGCATTAGGGTCGTGGAAGGCTGTCCGATAACTTAGGGCATCGTCCTTATTCAGCTCCATTATTTTGGCACCTGCAGCTACAATGCTTGCCACAGGGTGGTGGAAGAAAGTTTGTTGAAGCGCTTGGAGGAGTCGGTGCCGATGGTAGCGGATAGAATCCTTATCCGTACTGCATTAGAAGAAGAAAAAGCAGGAGTCAAGCGAGCGAGTAATAGAAAGACTACTCTTTGATGTATAAGTGCTCACATTACCGGTTACCCCTCTTCATGTAATGGGCAAGTATTTTGAGTTCGGAAAAGTGTGACAGAACTTTTCCGCCAACTTAAAAATTGCTTTGGCATGATTCTGTCCACTCGTATGCATAAATTCATACTACCACACATTGGATAGTTAACATTAAAAAAAGGCAATAAAAAATTAACTACCTTGAAAGACGTTGACACAGGCTGTGGAAGGGCTTGTATAACAAGGGAAGGAAAATTAATAGAACCATCTTCTATCCTTTCTTTTATCCAGCAATTAGTTTCTTATAATTTTTTCTTTATTTATTTATATTACTACTTATTTGGACCACGGACCTTCTTTTGCTGCCTTTTTAGAAATAAATAGAAAAGGATTAAAGAGGTATCTATTACATTTTCCTTCCCTTTTATACAAGCCCCTTCCAAGCTTTGTCTTGTCCTAACGTCAAAGGTTAGTGGGAAAGTGGTAATTCGAGCAGACATGATAATTTTATTATTTGATTATGAGTTAGTTTCATTTTTGCTTCAATTTGTTATTCTCCCCGACTTCTATTCTCTTGCCTATTTTTTTATATTCTTTAAGGCGGACACCTTCATGAGTCTTTCAGAATACGGCAAACATCATACACCAAAGGACAAAATTCTGAAAGTATCGCCATCAATGATGATGTAACAACTCTATGTATCGTGCGCACCGTTGAAGTTCTTTCACAATGATGCACCTATTCAAACAATGAATTCTAAAAGCATAGAAAAGCAAAGGTACCGCCCAAATCGTAATACGCTGTTCCTCTCGACACTCAGTGAGATGTCCAGTGATGGTTACCTGGAAGAGCCTCACTCAACTATGAAATTCGGTAGATGAACACAGCATTGTGCTGTATCGGATTGTTTAATAGCAACTTGTAAAACAAAATACCTGGCCTCCGAAGAACCCCAGAATACACAAAAAGCCTCAAAAGCTCTCTCGAATTTAGTTATCTCCGCTACTATTCCGGTCTTAGCGCCTACTTTCAACAGCCAGAGCGAGACAGGAGAAGCCTGGATGCATTACGACAGAAATATCACTCTAAGAGTTAAGTGGGCTTCGCACCCCATATCAGAGCGTACTCCTCTCCAAACCACAGACCGGAGAGCGCTTCTTTTTCAATGGCGGAGCCAGTCCCCAGTTTAAGTAAGCCCACATTCTTCAGTGCATTTGAAAACGCCAACTCGAAGCAAAATCAAATGCGGAAACTAAATCAAGCCCGCGTGGTATAACCGTTTAAGCAGGCCAATTTTTCAGACCTCTTAGACATTTTTGTACCCATAGGTTTAAATTACAATAACTGCTGTCAACTAGTTGCTACATTTGAGCATCCCTCGTTTTACTTCTATACGTGCGCGCTAACCTATAGGGTTTGAAGGCGAAAGTTTACTGCCATAGTTTCCACAATTAGGCTTGCTTTTATGAGGACGTTTAATAGTACGATTAATGCAGTCGTCACAGCCGCCGGTACGTGCCAGTTTTGAGAGCACCTTTGTGATACCATCCGTGAAGCTTTATCGCCGCATCAACGCGATTAGTTTCAGGAGTACACCAACCAGCGAGTTTGAAGAAGCAATGTCTGGCGTATCATCGGGGGGCGCGGATTCAAGGAGAAATCCAGCTCTACTCGCATGAGGTCGGTTCCACCTTTTGAATGGTGTGCTAGGTGCACGGTACGTTGAACGACAGCATCTGCCACTAGATCGCCTTTCCCCACCAAACCTAATGATTATTGAGTTAACGCCCAGCGCACTCAAATTTTGCTAACTACTACCCCCCTCAGCGCACTAGCAAAAAACGTCAACTACCAGAAAGACTGATTTTGCTATTACACTGCGCCTAGGAAAGAGCCTTCTGGTCCTTCTACGGCTTGTCAGGGCAGGGTATCATTACTTGCCGCGTTACGGTCGTCGATCCATGCGTAGCCGCTTGTTAGGCTTGCACTCACAGAAGGAGTCCGCCAATCCTTACTCATGGAACTGTCGACAATGAGACTTGGGGTAGATCGCGATGAGGTCTCTAAATATTTACAAATATAGATAGCAAGACTGCAATCTGCATTTCACAAGCAACTTATGAGCAGGTAAAGTTTGTATTGGGGCAGTAGGCAGGTGAAGCATAGCGAGAATCGCTAAGAGCGAAATCGCAGCTTCGAACGTCGAAAACTAACCATTTGAACCACCTACGACCTCGATTTCGATCCGCCCGTATCACGATTCCTCCGCTTACGTTCATAAGGTCACACAAGCCCCCATCGATATGCACCATACTAAACCTTCACCCTGCTCCATAAATTCCGTGAAAAAACGCCATGTTGCCAGTTTGCTAAACTTATATTTGTGAATATCTTAGTAGTCAACATCTACCGGTCTCCATTCACGAATCCATCGTAATTGGCGACTTCTGGCCTGGTGAGATTTCAACAGACCTGAAGGTGTGCTGAAACATTACCCTGGATCGATGGAAATCAGGTTAGGTTCATCACCCAATCAGGAAATTGATTACGGTGTTCGTATTCGAACATAATACTGCCACGCTGCTGCTTCAGTGTTACGCTTAGAGATCCCTGAAAACCCTGATATCTGTACTCAAGGATTCTATAGTAGCAATAGACATTAGAACTCCTCTCCAAGATCCTCCTTAATCTTTCTCCAGCTATAACACATTTCTTCATAGTCGCTATAAGTCACTTCCATTGTAAGAGTCACTTGTTCTATATCGACATTGTCCTGAAATTCACGTGCTCCGACTAATATGAACACATATTGGAATGATTTTTACGCCCTAGTGAAAAATTATAAAACTACTAATAAGCAAAATATGCAATTCGTTCTTCTGATGGAGAATCATAGTGAATCAGGAATAAAAGGATAAAAAAAAAACTAAGTAGGAAGTTATAACAGTGAATCAAAGACAGATATTTCCACCAGTCGTGAACAGGTTCTTTTTCGGGAACGTCTCCTCCTCCCTGCCTCCGCAACAAGTCTCGTAACGCCGCGTAGGTCTAGAGCTATAATATTGTTCCTACGGGCTGGACCGTCCAGAACGCTCATTGGCACACCCATCCTATCCAGCAACTGTAGAAAGGAAGCAAGCGATGACAGCGGGTTAACGCTGCCGCCGCGCCGACCAGCTCTGCCGAACAACACCGCATTATCCCCATGATTGGAACCTCCTACCAATGTCACGGCGTTACCCTCATTTCTTCCTGCAATTCTCCACTTCTGAAATGCCAGAGAAGGCAACAATTGGCATGAACGTTATCTAATCCTCATGGTGAAAAAGCCGCTCCATTTTAGTAAAATTTTCTTCCGTAAACTGTCTGATCTTTGCGTTTATTCTGGACACGGTCTTGCGCAGCTTTGCAGTCCGTGATGCGTATATTCGCGTCGGTGAGGTAGGAAGGACTTCCTATATCTTTTCTGATATTTTTTCCTTTTTAAGGCTAAATTCGAGTGGGAGTTCTTGGGAAACTGTGACAAGTCTATCGCCCAAAAATTTCCATCCATAACTTCGAACGTTTTCAAGAAAAAAAGTCAAAATTTTCCCCGGGGTGTGGAAAATAGTGGTAGGAAGTTGGGAAAAGTTAGTATGATTGAGGGTGAGATGGGAAGGGGCTCGTACCAGAAGAGGATATTAGGCGGAATAGCATTTTCGAAAATTTTCTCCAACTGCAGGAACTGCCTTGTTTTGTGTGACCAACACGATGTTAAAAAACACTCGAATGTCCAGACAGGAAAAAAAGTAAAAACGTTTTCTATTGACGAATTCTTCATGCACTTCTAGAACCTTTCCTTAGTAATCCTATAGGCGTGCAGGAAAACGAATTACACTTTTCTGGTCCGCACGGGTACCCCTCAACAAACCTTTCCCCCGGAAACACTGTGAGAAACACAGTTTTTCTAAAGATATCTTAAAACAGCCACAATCAGTTGAGTACAAATCGTATTTTTGCACCTTTTCTCAGTGGGTCCAGCCATCTATATCTTCTCGAAAACACCACAAGTCCTTGAATGACTGACCTGCGAAATAGCTTTGGTACCAACCTGGCGCAAACTAGCTGGTTTCATAACACTTTCACGATAACGCTCAATATCTGCTCGCCGTTTCAGCTCATTCGAAAGACGTGTGCGTCGATTGTGATCAACGCTCATCTATGGAAAACAGTACGGATTGGGGTAATTCTACATGCAAATAGTAAAAGTGAAAATCGTGGAACGTCGAAGAAATTACCTTGGCCGACTGCTGACTGATGTGAAAGAACTGCTCCGGTTGCTCGAGTATTTGATGCAGGGAAGGTCTAATAGAGAGATCAATCGATGGAAAACGATTTACTATCGATGAATCGTTCGACGGCGCCATCGCTATTGCATTTGATTGGAGATGTGGTGAGAGGGACCTTGAGTGAGCTACATGTGCACGAAATGAATACCGTCGTGCCTAAAAAGTAGGAATTTTAACGTCAGTTCACGGTACGAATGCGTTCATAGCGTTTTGAGCATCTATTGGTGTTTGAACGTTTACCAGTGTTTTGAGGGTTCATCAGAGATTTGAGCGTCCGCCAGAGTTTTGAGCGCCCGGGAAGTCTGGGTATCGATCTAACGTTTCGAGCGTCTGCCAACTTTTTCAGATCTATAACAGTTGATTCCTGTACATACCTAGTATCCCAAAACGCTGGCGGACTCAAAACGCTTTCGCAAAGTGTGAGCGCATTCTAGACAGTTACATACAAAGCGGTTCAAGATGCGGAGAATCCACGGAAGGAGTGTTACTTACTTAGCAAAATGGAGGATCGCAAAATGAGGCTATGGGAATTTGCAGAGAAGCCTGGGCGATTAGCCGATACTTTTCAGGCTAACAGAGAATCGCCGGAGAATGTCCGGCCGACTGAGATAGATAGAGTTCGAAAGCTCCGTCGACTCATCCGCAGACAGGAGATGAATCTTATGACTACTTTTATGCGGATTTTGTTCGCACTCCATAATTATGATTGCTGCCATCTTCAGCACTTGACTGCTATTAAGGCTTTACGCAATATTTGCTATACAGCTGCCACACCACTTAACCTTTCCTTGAAAAAACTCTTCGCTAATTTATTAGTAAGTTTCGTGCGCATTTGTGGCGCGCAATGGCCTGACTTGAAGCACCTGCACGCACCTGAGCTGCTACGATGAAGAGACGGCTCCGCTGATCCATGATGTATGCTCGGAAGCATGCAGACACGCCGTATGCGCTCTGCCGATAGACACGATGACCTAACCCTGTTGTTTGCGCACATCTGCTGTGATAATTGTTGAGCGGAAATATCAGGAACAGAGGACACGCTGCAGTGCCTTACGCGCAACCACGCCGCCCCCCTAGGACCGTAACGGACAATTACCTCGTGGACTACGGGCCGATCAGACGCAATCAGTTTCGTCAGTTTTCTATTTGTCTACGCTCACTCGTCGTTCTATAAGCGTTGTCAACCTGGACTAAGAGATGACCCGAACGGCTGCCGACGGCTCATTGTTACCGAATAATCTGGTGCCTATGAGGAGAAGTAAAGAGAACAGCGGTGTAGGGCAACCTCTCTCCCCTCTGGATTTATCTTCTCCGGGTATGCACACTCCCACAGAGTGCGTTGATATTTCTCAGTCAGGGCCCAGTATTTTCGTGGACAAGGAAAGTAATCAGTACAATCCGAACTCATAGTTATTGAACTGCAACCAAACACTTACTACTAATTCCACCTATCGAACTGGATTTGCATGACCCCGTGTCGGCGTCGCGAGGAAAGTCGCGAAAAATCCCACAAAAAGAAAAAAATTCGACTTAGAACGATCCTCGTGCTCAATAGACCAATCCCCCATCCTCCCCCTTGATTCTCTCCTGTACCTTGATCTAGATACATATTAATTCACTCGTTCTGGAGGTTGAAATAATCGGAGAATCAAAGACCAGTTGATCACTACTGACTCTGCGAGCGGTTTCGACGGCTCTTGTGCGATTCTCCCACTTCTGGTGTCGCAAAGTATGAACGCGGCCTCAATCGCATTCACTCAATACAGGTTTGAGTGTGGAAGTATCGCGATTAAGTGGTCAGTTAATCAAAGTAACCACTATGGAACTCTCGAATGAAATCACACATAATCTTTAGTAGATATTGAAAGAAAGAAAAAGGATAAACTAACTATCGTCTGGTAACCATCGCCTTCCCGCACGGCTCCCTCTCTCATGCTGAAATGTATTCCATGAATTTGAATGCATTCATCTCTTGCCGCTATTGATTTGTACAGCGGCAAGTTGCCAAAAATTTCATTACTGCATTGGGAACACTGGTGGTTTGAACACGAATAAAAAATTAGGAAAAAAATCGGCGTGACTTGTGTACGAGCCAGTAATCACTTTTTTGTAACTTCTAGTCATGAATGATAGTAAAAAAACAAAATGATCAGAAATATCTTTTGTAAAAAAAATCTTCTCGTCGCTTTTGGTCGAATACCCAGTTCAACTGGAATCGCACCCCTAAACATTAACAAGCAAGATTTCTAAAGCGATAAAGGAAATCAGATGGCATGAGAAATGTAACAGTCAACAATGCAATGATTCTCTGAAGACTTTATAGCGTAAAAACAAAAAAGCCTTTTGAAAAAATTTACGAGACTTATGAGTTTCAACAATGAAAATCTCAAAGCCTCATATTGATGACAAATTTTCAGATCCATGGTTCACGAGAGCGCAATACTTGATGCGCGCATTGTTTTTTTTCAAGATTTACTACTTTAAAATTGACCGACTACCTTTGGACCTGAGATACTCGTCTTCAAAGTGAGTCTGCGAGAAAATGTTCAACCAAGGAGCGGACACAATACAATGGCAGACGGCTCTAAAATGTGTGCCAAGGCACTGGGGATACGGCTGAGCGTGAAGTGAGAAACACAGGGTCACAATGAAGAGAAAAGGGCCGTAGCACCACGATTGACCCATTCTGGATCGAAAATATCAATCATCACTTCGGTCCCGTACAACCAACGCCGTGAAGAACGGTAGGTCCGTGGGTACGTTATATTACGTAAAGTTAGGGGACAGTTGTCCACCACTGATAAGAAACGGCGATATCAGGGCAAAAAATGCACGTTCTTGAGTTCCTGAGGTGAGCGGGTATGCGGCAAGAGAATCGCAATTCGCCGCATCAGTGGGCGTCGCGTGCGACGTCGCGCCCGCTAATGACGACGATTTTAGGTGGTACTGGTCGAGAATAGACAATGTATGACCAGAAGTAGACATAAGTGTCTGCCGTGTCCTTGTCTACATAAAATCAAGGGTGCTAACGTATTTGGGGGGGGGGACCACGCGGCGAGCGATGACTCATCCGCTCTTCTGCTCCCTCCTCGGCAAAAAAGAAGTAATTTCATGTTTAGGACATGGATATAACACCGTCCTAGCTATATTCAAAAGCTAAAACAGTTAAGGCTGAAAAGTGCGAAGAAACAGTTGTAGGCTGGAAGATTTTGCCTAAAATACAAGCGAACATGTTGGCCGTTTTTGTGTTTGATTCTACACTGTAAAAGATCTTATATTTGTTGTTTTCAGCTTCTGTGGGATTTCCAGTGAATTCCCGGTAAATCTTCTTTGTTTCATTCTAATTTGGCTGCTAGATTCGCGCTTCAATTGTATGCCTATGAGTGAAGAGCTGATCGAAGTCAATCAACTCGCTCGCTCGCCGCGTGGTACGCCCCTAAATACGTTAGCACCAAATCAAGTCGCTCCTTTCAAAGCGTAGTGCAAATTAAAGAAGCGTTGCGCCTAGTGCCGCGCGATAATGCAAGAGGGACCCAGGGCATGGGCTGCTGGATGCAATTACACCACTTGCGCGCTCTTTGGCTACCGTAAACCTTACGTACCTCACGCCTACTTTTAATGTTTTGCGAGTGTTTGTTGTTGTGAGCGCCGCTAAAGAAGCAAGGAAATACTTTGTTCTACTTGTAGCATCACATAGAATTTCTGATCATGAGACCGATGAAAGCTTCTCGTCACTCAGTTCTCTTTGCGGCACCATTCAACTATTACTACCCCATCTTCTGAAAAGCCCATCTTTTGAACGCCTTCTTTTCTGTCGAGGCAGATTTGGTTGAAAACTCGGTCGCAGAGGTAGTTAGGACTTCTGAGCACGAATTTTACATCCGCTAAGCGTGAAGCTGCCTGGCGCCTGCGCCACAGCCGCCTTGGCCAAGATGCCATAGACAAATCTGTGAAAACTTGTACGCGGGGAAACCTTGATTGCGAATATGACATTAATTGACGCTGTGGCTAATGGAGCATTCGCGCTGTGCACCCAGGCTCAAGCTTAAATAGCACTAACCATAAGTGTCGCTTTCGTCGAAAAACGAATGCCATATTCGTGATCACGGCATCAAACAATCCGACTATGCAAGATTTTCATGAAAAAGGATGCTGCGCCCGGTTGGGAAGGAACACAGAGAAATTCGGAGCTGTCGCCCTTACCATCGAAACTGAAATAAAAAGCATGCCATTTGATGCTCTGATTATAAATACGACATCCGATTCAGCCGCCGGCGTCACTTGGCGCTACAGTGTGCTAATTGGTGCTCTCATCTTTTCCACGAAACGCTGTAGACTTGCATGTGCGTTTGCCACATATAACATACATTTTTGGCGTCTGCGCCGAAATGGTGGCCTAATCTTGGGCCCTCCACATTCTTCGCTATAAACTTGCATGCTAGCATTATTTGACTTCATTATCACGGACATGACTTAATTTTCATCACTGGCGTCTCTTGTTGCGAGACACGGGCGCCGGCTTGGCGCCGCGACTTTTTTTCACTAAACGTTACTACTCTCTGAATTTTGTTCGAAGTTGACACCCGCACCAGTCTGACATCAAGTGGCAACTGCGCAAAATGGGTGTCATATTCGTGTACAGGACACCGAACAACCCTGTTATGCAGGTTTTTATCGACTATGAAAAAGAAGAGTGTGGCGCCAATTGGTGCCACGGCTGAAAACGCATGCAGTATTCGTGATCCGGACATCAGGTAACCTTACTATGCATTTACATCGAATTTGATGAGAAAGGTGGCGTCGCCAAACTGGCGCCAATTTGGCGCCATCGCCGAAGACGTGTGCTATATTCGTGATCGGACACCACATTACCCCTCTGGGTAACGTCAAAATGACGCGTAATGGGGTCAGATGATGCGGCGCTGGCTGGACATCATATTCCTCCTGATCAACACACTGAGGAATCCCTATAGGAAATGTTCCAGCAAGACCAATTTTGTTAGACGTTCTGGGCTACTGGTGCCGCTAGGCGAGTCGTAGGATCCTTATTACTGCTGATCTCATTGGATCACTGTTTGTATGAATTCAATAGAAGGTACGATAACAAGAAGCTAACTTCAGTATTACCGCCGCGATACCGTAACCCAAGACAGCGCCCTTTAAATTGTCCGCCCGTCGTAGGTGCGTTGAAAACATCAGCACGGGCATTAAAACTACGCCGATAATTTCCTTTGGCTGGGTGGAAGAAGACTGGTGTGTTTCGGATGTCACCGTGAGGATTTCGATGTACGGATAGGCCTGATCTATCTTCCTGTTACTCTTGCTTCAAGCACTTTGGTGGTGTTGCACGCTTGGTGTTAATCAGTGTGGGATAGAAACGGCTTTCAAAGCTCGCTAAAGTAAACATTGAATTGAGGTGGTACTGCGTTCGAATTATTAGCCTCATCGCCTCGAAAGGTGGAACAGGTGGTACTTGCATGTAGTTGGTCACGTTGTCAACTACGACTTTTCAACCTGGGATAATTTTTTTCACAAACCCTAGCCACATTAGTGAAATCATCCACTGAAGTAGAACAAACATTTACTGAGGGAAACTAGAGGGCCAAAGTTGAGACGGGCACTGCTGGGGCACAGTCCCGCCAAGATGTGAGGAAATTCTGTTAAAAACTTGCCACCAAAAGGTTGTCTAAAGGTGTATTTGGTACTGCCAGTCACTAGTTTCTTGTCAGCACTGGGAACCAAGTCGTGTTTGCACTTAAGACCCTGGATTACCTCTCCATTCTAACTACCAGTCTGTAGCGAAACGAGACCCAGTTGCACCAAACTGGCTCCAAATGGTATCGTCACGAAAAATGTCATGTCAGTAATCAGATCACTACTTTTTATGTCTAGTGATAGTGACGTTTTCGCTTAGGCCATCACTAGCACGCCGGAGTGAGGAATTCATGGCGTAAACTTGGGAAACTACTTGTAGAAGAATATGTTTCCTTGATCACTCGCAACATTATCATATCCTACTATATATAATCCGCTAAGTTTGTCTGTTGGTGTGTGTGTCTGTGTGAATGTCTGTCTGTGTGTGTATTTGACGATGACCGGAAATTCATAACTTCCTTCAAAACAGCGATAATGCGCTCAAACTGATAGATGTTGTAGGAGGTCGGGCAGGGACATTATTGGTGGGTGGCAGGAAGCGATAGCAGTTGATAAGATACCATAAGGGGCCGTATAAAGGCGAAGTCAGCAAATTCATAACGCGCGTCACAGCAAGACTAGAGCGTTGGTTCCAAGAAGTTAGATAGGGGGCAGGATGGGAACATTATTGGCTGGGTGACAGGAAGTGATAACAGCTGATAAGATACCACGAGGAGCCTTGAAAAGAGTGAGTTACCTAATTCATAACACCGGCCACAGCAGCGATGGGACGTTGATTTCAAGAAGTTAGATAGGGGCAGGATGGGAACCTTATTGTTGGGTGACAGGTAGTGATAACAGCTGATAAGATACCATAAGGAGCCTCAAAAAGAGTGAGTTACCTAATTCATAACACCGGCCACAGCAGCGATGGGACGTTGATTTCAAGAAGTTAGATAGGGGCAGGATGGGAACCTTATTGTTGGTGACAGGTAGTGATAACAGCTGATAAGAACATAAGGCAGCCCAAAAAGAGTGAGTTAACCATAATCTAATTCATAACACCGGCCACAGCAGCGATGGGACGTTGGTTTCAAGAAGTTAGATAGGGGGCAGGATGGGAGCATTATTGGTGGGTGACAGGAAGTGATAACAGCTGATAAGATACCACAAGGGGCCTTAGAAAGGAAGGGTCACCAGCTCCATAGCGCGGACCATAGCGACGACGGATTGTGGGTTCCAAGAAGTTAGATAGGGGGGGGGAGGATGGGATCATTTTTGGTGGGTGGCAGGAACGTGA